TCCCTATAGCCCCTCACCCTGCTCCCTACAGCCCCTCACCCCGCTCCCTACAGCCCGTGGCTGCCCTCCCCCTGGGGTATTTTTCTGCTGGGGGGTGCAGCCTGATGGCTGTGGGGGGACAGGAGGCGGCTGCCACCCGCCCAAAATTCATCCAACCCTGACCAGCCTCATGCACTTGTGTGGGAGCTCCTGAAGCCTGTGCTGAACCCCAGGAGCTGCTCAAGGGCAGCGCAGCCCCCCAGGAAAAGTCTGGGACCTGCAGTGGCTGCAGGGACCCCTTTCCCTGGCTGGGAATCGAACCCAGGCCGCGGCAGTGAGAGTGCCAAATCCTGACCACTAGACCACCAGGGATGAGGTGGTGATGGTGATGGACCTGTTGGTGGCCACCAACCAAGCCCTGAAGGGACAGGGACCCTTGGGCCCCCACGGCCCAAGGAGAGACCAGGTGGGATGGATGCCACAGCCTTTCTGGGGGATTTTGCAGGGATGCCTGCTCCCTTCTGAGAGCTGTGGCATTGGGAGGACCCTCTGTGCAAGAGGACCCCATCTCTGCCAGGCCTGGGAAGCAGGAGGTGGCTGTGCCGGGACTCTGATCACCTCCAAAGGCAGATTTGGAGAAGGCAATGATGGCCAATGGTTCGAGAAAAGACTTAGCGGTCCCCTGGGGATTCACCAGGGAGGTTCAGTCCTGCTGGTGATGGAGCATGGACCCCATTTGTGCTGCTATACATTACCAGGCTCACGTGACACACGTCACATTGGGCACAGGCGATCCAGCTTCATGGGCACAACAACCCCAGCTCCCGGTGCACGGCCAGGGTTTCCCTGTAGTCACCTCGGGAGAAGCAGAACAGCGTAGGTGCTGATGCTGTCAGCAGAGTCTTCCCTGTTCGGGGGAAACAGGGGTCTGAGCCCTTGTGCTGGGGGAGGGGGTAGAGGGTGGAGGGAGTGTGCCTGGAGTCCCCATTCCTACTGGTTTTACAGTAACATTTGCATCTTGTTTTTCTAGGGGAAAACAGCCAGTTGGGGCCGTCTTTTGAGACTTCATCTGGAGCTGCAAAGAGTAGGTGATGCCGGTTTCCAGAGAGTCCTTCTGAGGGAGCAGAGACTTTTGCCTTCGTTTACCCCGAAGTGGGCCCTCGTTAGCCAGCGTGCGCGGGGAGCTGTGCTGCCGGAGGGGCTGGGGGGGAGTCACGGGCAGCAGCAATGCGCTGGCATTGCCCAGGCATCCTGCAGCAGTGATGCTTGTGATCCCCCCACCCTTGTCCGTCGTACCACAGGTAGCCTTTTCCTTGGCCCCATACATGTCACTTAAGAAAATAAGACTTAAGTATACATTTCACTTAAGGGGAAAAAAAAAAAAAAAGAGGCTAAGTCAGGCTGGGGCAAAACCAAAACCAGACTTGTCCCCCACCACCTGCACTCACCTCCTAGAAAAGAGTCTTTCTGCTGAATAGGAAGATGGAGGGGGGCTTGAAATGGGGCCCCCACTCCCCAGGTGGTTGCTATCAGCATGGGCAGGACAACAGGGCGCTGCAGAGCCCTGGACCCCTGCCCAGGGCAAAGAGCCCAAGGGGGAGCCCAGGGCTGAAGGTGACAGCACAACTGTCCCTGCAGCATCCAGCACGGTGGGGTTCAGACCCAGAGGGGAATGAGCACTGACACAGAGGGTGACGCCCAGGGGGGTGCCCGGTGCTGGCGGGAGCTGCAGGGAGGAGACCCCCACCGTGCACTTGGGCAGGAAGGAAGAAGCACTGCAGGGCTTCTTAGCAGATGGATGAGCCGTGACTGAGATGAACGAGAGGGCTCCAGGAACTTTTCCCGCAGAAGACAGCAGAGGGCCCAGTGCTCCTTGGATGCTCATGTGTGGTTGGGAGGGGAAGTAAATGGACAGAGAGAAAATGTCTCTGACTTGCAGGGGTCAGTGCACACAGAGTGGGGAAACCTCCTGGTGGCTTGCCTTGTCCCATGCAGCTCCCGAAAACGGCCAGTGCAGCTCCCCTCTCTGTCTGAGGCCGAACCCCAGCATGGTCCCCCCTGCAGTCGTTCCATGACATGGTCTGGGGTCGCAGTGGGACATCTGGCATCCAGCTCCCCCGTCCCCATGGTGCCCCGGTCTTTGCCCAGGTTTCTCTGCAATGCCTGATGGATCCCAGCTGCTGGCCGCTGCCTTTGCCACCACTTTTCCCTGAGGAGCTGCACTGCAGTGAGCAGGAGAGGGCAAAGGGAAGCAGTGGGTAGCTTTGGGGGAGTGCAGAGTAGGACGACGAGGGATTGTCACCCTCCTGCAAGAGCTGACCTGGAGCAAGGGTGGAGCCACGATGAATGGTCTTGCATCTTTCCAACACCCTGGCATCTCTGCCATGATGGTCAGGGCTGCAGAATACACCTCCAAAAACCTTCACTGGGACAAACCCTCTGAGTGAGGGGCAAGGCTGGGCTGTGCAATGGTCATACGGGATTATGGCATCCCTTGGGCATGTCAGGTTGGGGGAAGAGGGAGCTGTGCTGGGCTGGGGCGCAGCCACCCTGCGCTTTCAGAAAGATATGCAGATGTCATGGTTTCGGTTGCCTCTACAAGCTCTAACAGAGCGTGTGCTCTGGCAGCCTTGCGGTTGGAGGAGCGTCAGTATCACCCTGCGGTTTCTTAGATCTCTATCTGGGCCTGTCAGATATTTTGTCATAGACAGTAACAGTTCCTTCCTCTGCCAGCAGACCTGGGCACATCAAAACATGTTCACTCGCATGTCCCATAGCAGGACCGTCTCCATCTGTGATGGCAGAGGAAGGGGAGATGGCTCCCCGGCCAAATCCAACAAGGAAGCCGTGCAGCCCAGGAGCTGCATGTTGGAGCCCAGGAGTGTGCGGGGCCATGTGGTGAGGCAGGTGGTGGGGATGTAAAAACTGACTTTCTACAGGCACTGTTCCTTCGAAAAAGAAGTCCCAGGCCCAGGATCAGCCTTGGGGCAGCAGGGACAGGTCAAGGCTTAGTACAAAATGCAACTGCTATTGTAGCGAGGAGACGAGACTGAGACACATCGCCTTGTTTTGCACCCCTACATGGATCTGGGGCATAAGCAATACATACATAAATTAGCCAGAACAATAGGCTAATTGCAATACTGGAATACATGCAATATGGGAGTAGCAATAAATAATCCCTCTCCCTATCTCCAAGAATGGGATGTCCCTTGGCAAATTCCAGCTGAGATTTTGTCCCTTGCAAAGCCTGAGTACCTGCTAGCATATTGCTGTGCTGTCCCAAAATGCCACCACTGCGTGTTTGTGGCAACCGCGTGGCGTCAGTCACTTGCTTCAGCTCCAGGTCCTTCACGTGCTTTTGAAGGCAGGAGTCCTCAGGGTCCCCAGGACACCACCACCCCCAGCCCCATGAGGCTGGCTCTTGGGAGGATGAGTTGGGAAAGCCATGGACTCCTGCACAGCCCAGCAGGGTCCCTGGCACAGGCCATGGGGACCCTCCTGCAGCAGTCGTCCCCACCCATGGGGACATTGCAGTGAAGGGGACACTGTGGGGAGGCAGCGCCAATACACCCAGACACAAGGAGGTCTCCGAGGGCCCCACGCAGACCCACACGACATGGTGGGGGAGAAGGAGAGTGGGAGCAGAGCAGCACTGCCCCGCAGTCCCTGCTGCGTTACTGGGGCCGTGGGGCAGCGAGGAAATCCTGGGGAGATGAGCTCGTGGTGCCTCGTGAATGGCAGTTGTCGCTGGGAGCTGGGCATGAAAATACCCAGAGAAACCACAGGCTGTGAGCTGGCAAATTTGGTGCCTGTGCAGAGAAGAGGGAGGCGGAAAAAGGGGAAATGCTCCCTGGGGCATCCCGGGGAGCCCATCGCCTCGCGGCAAGGGCAGTGCCGGGGAGCTCTGGGCGGACCGCACCATGAGCCCCGTGACTGGGAGTGTGCACAAGGGGATGGGGGTACACGTTTGCGTGAGAGCTGGTCCCTCTCCACTCCCCAGGCAGGGGAACCTCCTTCTCCGCCTTCTGCATCCCACCATGTACCAAACCCATGCTGGGGCACTTGTGTTTGCCCCGTGTCTCTAGGAGAAGATGGTATTTGTAGAGTCAGATCACTGAGTCAGGCTTCCCAGGCCAGCACTCCCTTTACTGGCTGATGCTGGGGTGTTAGGAGGGGTTTGGAGGTCCTGAGCTCCACACTGGAAGCACAGCATTGAGGATTTTGTGTTTCCTGGTGCCAAGACTGCCAGCCCAGATCTACAACCGGTCTCCAGGGTGCCAGGCTGCTGCCCGCACTGCCCTCCTGCATCCACCCTGTGCATGTCCTAGACCCACCACGGGAGCAAGGACCCCTGGCTGGATCTGCACTGTCCCCAAGCCGTTTTGAGGGTCTGAGCACCTTGTCCTCAAGGCCTGGGACCTTGAAAAGGAGACTGAGTTGAGGTCCTCCTAGTCCTTCGGGGAGGATGCTGAGATGAGTTTGATGAGTACTGCTGTCATGTTGGTGAATCTAAGTGTGAACCTGCTGCTCAAGGGTGGTTTCATATCCTGTCTTGGTCAGCGTAGCCCTCATACGGGTGCCGATTTGCTCAGACTTACCTCACCTCACACAAAGGCTATTCTAGTATTTCCTAGACCTGGTGCTTCCTTTTTTTTTCAGCATTTCTGAGGCAAAGGTGCCGTGACATCAGCTCTGTTACGCTTTGGAAACTCCAAGTGTTTGCCTTGAAATCTGACTGACGGGGCTGGCCACCGTGCCTATAAAAAGCAAGGTCTGAGCCTGCATCTCGCATCAGACGCAGGAGGAATCTGCTCTGGTCCTGCCTCTGCCCTTGCAGCTCATCCCTGTCCATAATGAACGTCTCCGCAGTGTGCCTCTCCATCATCCTCATTGCTGCTCTCTTTTCTCAGGCCTGTCTTGCTCCAAGTGAGTACAGCATCTCTCTACGCTCTCTTGGGGTGGATTTTTGCTCTGTCTTGCTGTAATTTTGAAGCAGAACTGGAAAAAGTTAGCTGCAAATGTTGGAAACCTGTGTGAACAGCTTCTGCTTTCTTGGGACTGGTCTTCCTTTCTAGCATCCTTTTATCCTAGGGATGAATTTTACTGATAAGTATCAAAGTTTTCAGGTTTTATCTCCCCTGATTTAGGGAGTTGGGGTTTAGGAGTGGTCCCAAGGTGACTGAAGGGATTTTTATCATTAGAAGTGAGTGCAAAACATTTAACAAGCAATCCTAGCAATGACTTTAACGAAGCTTTGGTGTTCACAGCAATTTCTTGCTGACTTTCTGGGGAAACAGGAAGAGAAGAGGGCTCCACAGCTGATTAAGGGGATGGTTGCCCATGCTTTTGGCTGGGCAATGTGCAGTTCATTGAGTGATAGACTCATGCTGGCTTTCCTGATCTCTTCCAGTTGGGGCTGACACAACCGTGTGCTGCTTCAGCTACACCTTACGAAAGCTGCCCCAGAGTCATGTGAAGGATTATTTCTACACCAGCAGCAAGTGCTCACAGCCAGCAGTTGTGTAAGTACCGGCTCCTGCTCTGGGCTGTGAGGAAAGGCTCTGCCAGCCTTTGGGCTCTTTGCTTCACGTCCAACTGGGCAAAGAGCATGGTGGTGTAAGGAACCATATGTGGAGTAAGGGAAGGGGGCAGCCACCACGGGTCCCATGTGCAGCACGTGAGTGCTCATCCTCCTCAGCTGAGAACCATCCTGGTGCTGGGAATAAGGTGGGGGAAGGAGGTGTCTGTGTAGCCACCAGGACCTCCCAGTGGTGATGAGCCCAATGCACGTAATGTGCCACCTGCAAGACTTGCACCTGATATACCAGCCGCCCACGTGCTGCATCCACCTCCGCACTGAACATGGCCAGGGACATCTGAGCATGGAGGGGGAGGTTCTCCCAGGGGACCTTGATCTCTCCCTGTCCAACTTCCCAGCTGGAAATGCCTCAACCTCCTTAGCCCTAAAAACCTTCCCTTTTGCATCACCTCCCTGCTCCCAGCACCGCAGCAGCAGCAGGACTAGGAGGACCTCAACTCAGTCTCCTTTTCAAGGTCCCAGGCCTTGAGGACAAGGTGTTCAGACTCTCAAAATAGCCTGGGGACAGTGCAGATCCAGCCAGGGGTTCCTTGCTCCCGTGGTGGGTCTAGG